CAAAAGAGGAAGACAAAAGTACAAAAACTATAAAAACCTAGTGTTCCAAGGAGCAAGCACTTGCACCTAAGAAATCTTTGTTGATTGTTGCTAATATCTATGATAATTAAGCTAAAAATACCCACAAAGCAATAGAATTTGCAGAGATAAGTCTATTGTCTTAAGCAAATAATGAAGCCAGGAACAGTTAAATTGATCTCATGACTCTCATTTCAATAATAAAGCAGCAACAACTGTTAATCTATAGCACTCAGTTTAAATTACAAACCCAGAGCTGAATGGGCAATTTCATTAGACAGAACACAGCTAAGAGAGAAACAGCTGGCAGGGAAAAACAGTCATCCCCATTGAAATCCAACCTCCCTGAGAATTTCCTGTTGCTCTGTACCAGACTCATCACCAGGGAACAGTTCTCGCAAATACCAGGTGCATTTGTTGGAAGCTTTTTGTGTCCAAGCAATTCCCTTTTATTTCAGCCCCAAGGCTCCAGGGGGCTCCAAGGGTGGCCTGGGCACTGCTGCAGGACGGACACAGGGATAGCAAGAAGGGCAGGGAGAGGGAGGGGAGCAGGTCCCCCCACATCTGCCTGGAACCACCCCACAGCACTGCCAGAGAGCTCCAGGACACGAGCTGTGTGTCCCCAGGGATAGGAGCAGCTCAGTGAGCAGATGGGAACTGGCTTTTTCCTCTTCTTATTCTTGTCCCCAAAATTAACACATGGTCTGCAAGCCAATCAAACTCACCCACGGATACCAGCGCTGCCTAGAAGAGACAGTTATCTTTTTAAATTAGATCCTTTCAAACACTTACACAAATCCTTGGGTATTGCAGGGACTGTGGAGCTGAAACCAATGAGCATCCACAGTAGGTGAGGGGAGGAAAGGCTTCCACCATCTCTCCTGGCAGCTGTACAGAGCTCATGGGAGGAAGAACGTTCTGTTCTCACTGAAGGGAGCAGGCAGGACTATAAATATCCACATGGAACATATTTACTGAGGGATGGAGTGCCATACTAACAACCATTTCTTCATGGTAGGACCAAATTTCACAGGTATTAGCAGCTTCCTGAAATAAATTCAGAGAATCAGAGGATAACTGAGGTGAGAAGGGACCTATGAAAGCTTCCAGTTCAGCCTCCTGTTTAAAGCTTGGACTACTTCTTTGCTAAGGGAGATTGTTGAGGGCCTTTCCAGATCTCTTCTGATAAATCTCAGGCATGGAGAGCCCACAGCCTCCCCAATATGGTTCCTGTGCTGCATAACCCTTATCCTGAGGACTTTTCCCCACATACAAACAGAAGGAATTTCCTTTGCTGCATGACCACTGCCTTGCCTTTGTGCAGCACACTGTGACAGTCTGAATCCATCATTCATCCTGTCCCTTTCCATTAAAGGTAGACAGTGACTAGATGCCCTCTTATCTTATCCCCCAGGATAAACAAACCCAGCCTCAGAGCCTCTCCTGAAACACCACGTGCTGCACTCTCCTGAGCACCCATTGATTTTCTGCTGGACTTGCTCCCCTTGGTGAGCTCTCTGTGGCCCAGAGACACCAACCCCACAGGGTCCACCTTTGGTCACATCTCTGTGGCCTGGGGACACACCAACCCCATAGTGTCCACCTTTGGTGACCTCTCTGTGGCCCAGGGATACACCAAACCCACAGTGTCCATCTTTGGTGACCTCTCTGTGGGCCAGGGACACACCAAACCCACAGTGTCCAGCTGGAGCTGCAGCCTCACAGGTGCTGAGTGCAGTGTCTGACCTGTGGCCATACCTGAACAGCCCAAAACAGGTGACAGGCAGGTGTGACCACCTCAAATACACCTGCAGTGCGCCAGGTCCTCTCTGCAGAGCTCCCTGAGCTGTCAGTCCCCAGCCCATGGGGCTGATGTGTCCCCAGGGCAGGACTGGCTGTGTTTTACCTCACTGGATGTCATGAGGGTCTCATTGTCCTGCTCCTCAGGATTCCCAAGGCTTTTGCCTGTCATTGGAAATGGACCTAGAAGGTTTGGTGCCATATTCTGTGTGCCTTCATGAAAAAGAGCAATGGCACATCCTGTGCATTCAGCCTGTCTCCCTTGTGCCATGGTGGTTTACACCAACTATTCTCAACCCCCAGATCCCAAATGACATCACCAAGAGCTTTTAGAGACTGCAGTGACCTTGAGAATGCTCCTGCATGGCAGCAGGATCAGGATGTCAGCATTACTGCTGGAATGGGGCTGTTTTAAGAGGACCTTGCTGAAAAGGAAGGAAGATTTAGTTGCTGCTGGAGCGGAGGTGGGGGTGGTGTGAAATCTATAACCACTATCCCTGCTCAGGGTTCTGTTAGCTAAATTTATGACACACATTGAAGCCTCATTTTTCCCCTAGTAAGAATATTTCTTTCAGCTATTTATTTTGCATTTCATGAGACCTTCTGCAGATGCAGTGAGCTATATCACTCTATTCTGCTCACAGAGCATCCTGAGATCTAGATGCTTCAAAACCTGAGTGTATTGTAATGACTGTATAGAATATCTCAATGAAATTCTACATCTGCACCCTTGATAATTCAGTTGATTTCAAGTGGAAATACTCTCTGCAGCTTTTGCAAATGCTGATATAAGCCATGGAGTGAATGTTCACAAAACTCAACCTCCTGTGCCCAGAGTCTTCATAGAGTTCATCCCATACATGGGATCACCTTTTTCACAGGAATTGTGTAAAATATTGGCTCTCCCTAATGAAATTTTTATTTTTCCCCTTTCTTGCTGCAATTACAAATGCATTGTACAAGTCTACCATGGTTGTGCTTCTTTAATTTTGTTATAACACCCAGGGAATAATTAGTTCTGTATCTTCTAACAACAAATATATTCATTCAAAAATTAAATATTTACTTGCCAAAGAGCCATCACAAGTTGTCATGAGTGCTTGTCTTCATTATGTGTGGGAAATTAAATGGACTTTGTACCATAATTCCGCTGGTATAATAATGGATTATGCCCAACAAGGGAAAAGTGACCCCATTTGGTTGGAAAGTAACACTTCCTTCTCATTAAACTTTACTTCATATTGCAGCAAGCTCATGTCTTATCAAATATGACAAGTTCAGACCTTACTGTGCTGAGCCAGCCTGTCTGCTCAGGAGGCACAAGACTAACCCAGTTTAGATTTGGAGAAAACCTTGGGTGGTCCCACATATCCACTGTTAGGTGAAACATATGCAGCCAGAAGAATTCTCATTCCCTTCCCATCTGCCAACACAGAATTGATGAAGTGGAAATGCTCCAAATAAAAAAATAAAACCAATAAAAAATGACATCAATTGTTTTAAAAGCCTCAGAATCAACATATTGAAAGCTAAAGGTACAGAGTTTGCCCAAATGTCTGCACCCAGATGCAGCTGCTTTGTCCTTTCCAGCCTGGTGGGGATAGATCAGAAAGCATCAAAGATCCTGCTTTGGGTCTTGTTTTAACAGACCATAATTGTGCACAACCCATTGTTTACAGCTGAAAACAGCACTGGGACTGATTTTGTAACAGACATGCATTTGTAAACACATTTCCTTAGCATTTCCTGGACCCAAAACCTAGAAGTCCCTTAATTTCTCTTTCTTGGACACATCAGTTGTAAGCAAACCCCTCTGCCCAGTAGCTGGGCCACACAATTCACACTCCCACACAGCACATTCTGTTATCCTCCATGTTTGTTTGCTGGCACTGGGGAATCTGATTTTTCCCCATTTTTGGAACACCATGATGCTGAAGGTTTTGAATTTTTTTTTAAATTTTGACCCTTGCCTTTGGGCTATTAAACACTTGTTCCAGTTCTTTTAGATTAGATATCCCAACTTCCAACTGGCTTTAGGAGGTTAAAACACACAGAGAAGACCTTTAGCTTTTCACATCAACTAATCTATTGCTAAACCAGCAGCAGTCTCCCTCTCTCTGCAGATATGCTAACCTCCTGTCACTACATGAAAGGGTTTAACAGTTTCTAGGGCACAGGATACACTCAAGCACAGAATTTTGCACTGCTTTTCACCATGGATTTCATGTACAATTTGAGGCTTGCAAGGCATTACCCAAATGAGACACGACAGATCTGCTTTTCCAACAAAAGCAGCAATAGCTACAAACACATGGCCTGGTGCCCCCTGCATGGTCAGATCAATCAGGTGTACCCCAGTGCCACAAAGTGCCAGAGCTTTGTGCCCTCACTGGGGCTCTGCATGGGCACACCTGGGCTCAAGGGCAAGGCACAGCTCCCTGTGAGCACAAGCACCACCCAGGAGCTCTGTGTCCCTCCCCACTTCCCATGATATTTTCTGAAAAATCCTTTTTGCCAGGATTTTTTTCCTGAAAAGCTGAGAGGCCTCAGGAACAAAATGTAAACATTGGTTATCTGCTGCTGTGGAATGCAACAGGAGCATCTGTGATTGGTCTCATGTGGTTGTTTCTAATTAATGGCCAATCACAGTTCAGCTGTCTCAGACTTGTCTAATAAAATCAGTCACAAGATTTTATTATCATTCCATTCCTTTCAAGCCTTCTGATGAAATCCTCTCTTCTATTCTTTTAGTATAGTTTTAGTATATAATTTCCTTTAATATAATATAATATATATCATAAAATAATAAGTCAGCCTTCTGAAACATGGAGTCAAGATTCTCATCTCTTCCCTCATCCTGGGACCCCTGTGAACACCACACACTGCACAGCTCTGCAGCCTCTCCAAAGCTCTTCCTCACCTTCCAGGGAGGATGCTCTGCCAAGCTGGAGGGCTGATCTGGGCCCAGCCAGTGCCCCACGCTGCCTGCAGCCACCCAGCCCTGACTGGTGGCTGGGCACAGCCTGGGCCATGTTACTGCCCAGGGCATTGCCACATGTGATAAAACTTCCTAAGCCACTTTAAACCATGTTTAGGATAGAGGTTTGGGCCCAGGCTTTAGCCAAAAAACATGTTATGTATTTCTAGGCATGTCCACAATGCTGAAACACAGGGAATCTCACCTTGGTGATCCATGGCCAGGTGATGACTGCATGTGGCTCTGTGTTGGACACACAGGGAGCTTTTCCAGGAGCAGGAAACAGCCACACTGTCAGATTTTGCTCCTTGGGAACACTTTTCCAGTACTGGATCAACTGCCTCAGTCCTCCAGAACTGCCTCTTCTTCTCCTTGCCTCTCCCTGCCCAGCTCTGGATTCAGTGATGCATAAAAGGGAGCACATGTAAAAGATCTTTCATCTCAGCTGTTACACAGACAACTAAAGCTAGACCCTCCTCAAATGTACTCCAGCAGTGATTTTCTGGAAAAACAGGTGAATTTTGAAAGTTAGACTTGAGACAAACAGCTGAAAAGCAGTAATTTCACTAAAGAGCTGCCTGTGCTCAGACAACTCATAAAAACAAATCTGACAGACAGACTTTGTGCTGATGTCACTTTGGCCCTGAACAGATACAAACCTGCAAACCCAGGGCAGTGTGGAACAGTCATTCCCCCTCTTCCAGAATGAACAGGAAAAACTAGGTTTGCTTATGTGCTGAATAGTGGGCAGTAGATACTTTTAAATAGCTTTCCTGGCCAAGACCCTTCAGCACAGAGTTGAATCTGCCTCTTGGTCCTGCAGAGGAATCTGTCATGAAGGAACAGAGCTGCTCACTCACCTTCTCATATGTCATCTCCAGTAGTTCTCTGACTGTCCAGAACATTTCTATTATCCACCTGTCAGTGCTAAAATGGAGAAAAGGAAAAAATATGGTGTGTTCTGTAGACTACATTTTACTGAAAGGGTAAGGAATGGTTTCAATTGTGTGTTGAAAAACATGGTACATTTTCTATATCAGGATAATTTTTTATGTCAGGGCTTTCATTTAAGAAAATAATCTATCACTGGAACTGAAAGTCTTAATTTATTGAATATTTATAATTAGATATTTGATTATATTCAGTATACAGTACCTTTTGATGTGCTAGCAGCCAAATGCTGCTACAACCAACACACTGATGATGACTGGTCTGTCTTCCCAACAGCAGTGTCACCCTCATCTTAGAGGTTCTATAACCACACTTAAATTCCTTCTCAGCAGATGGGCACAGGTTTACACATCCTCATCACCTCCATGTGCTGTGTCAGGACTGCAGACTACACCCCAGGGTGGGCTCCAAAGGGATGTATCAACACCCTCTTGGACAACAGCACCCACTGGGCTGGTCCATGCAGCCCTACACACGCACATGTGAATACCTGAGGTCAGTACAGCCCCTGAACTGGTCTGGAAATGTGTTCAAATTAATCAGAACTGTCATTAGCAGGCAGCTGCTTGCAATGCCTTGTAGTGAGCTGGAGCCTGGGCTGCCGCCCAGCAGGGGTGACAGCCTCCTCTCAAACAGCCTAAAAACCCAAAAACACCTTCACATCTCAGGATCTGGCCCTTGGGATCCCATAATAACTGTGGATTTTCCAGCTCTGCAGAGGGATTTCAGCATCTTGCTGGGGAGCAGACTCTCCTGAAACATTGCATCTCAATGCTGACATCCATCCCCTGGGGGGAGAATAAGTAGGAGTTGGGACTTAACCTTTTGGGATGACAGTATTTGGCATATGCTTGAGATAATCAGTGCAATTGCTGAGTGAAAAGCTGTATTATCTTGAAATAAATATGGTTCACCCAGAAAGGTATTAAAACTCAGCTTCATGCAGTATGAACAATTGTTCACATCCTGGAGCATGCAGCCCTGAGCAGTTACTACAACAAAAAGGGATTAAGTGCCTCTAATTATTATTACTGTTATCCAAACATTTTGCTATCAGTGAGCCTGTAATAAATAACCACGACATCTCATGGGTACAGCTATCAAATTTACTGTCACTAGCTGAGCTGTTCTGATTAAGAGCCAGAGTTTTTCCAGTAAACACACAGATCCCTCTCTAAGGACAGAAGAATAAATGAGAACTGAAAAATCTAAGGGGGAGAAAGAAAGGGCTCCCACATGAGCCTCATTCTTTGCTCAGAATATCATGTTTCTGTAAATATAAAAGGCAGTGGTAACAGTCCTTACCCCACTCACAGGGACTCCTCTCTTGTGTTATCCATCAGTTATTCCTCAGGCTGGAAGCAGCAGAGTGCTGCAGTGCTCAGGGCACATCCCTACACTAGCACAGAGACAGACAGTGTGTCCTGTCCTGGAGACCTTCAGCAACATGAGCCATCCTCCTGTTCTTTTCCAGGCTGCTTTAGAACACCTGTAAAATAGGCCGAGTTACTTACAGCTACCCTCGTGCTAAAACTTACAGCTGAGCTTTTCAAAATAGATTTTATGACCCTTCAGACACTTAACACAGTTAGTTTATGTTTACTCAGCTTCCCCCATTTTTATTTTGGTTCACCAGCAGTTTCTGGTCAAGTTTCCAGCTCAAGTCTGTAAAGGTTTAATCTTTGGTAGTGAGCAGGACTAGAAGCAATCAAGGAAGAGCCACCCTCTGAGATAAGGTTTTGTAAATTCTAGACATTCAAGATGCAAGTAGGTGAAATAGATCAGTTTTCATCTGATAGTTTTTGTTTTCATGTTTTGGAGACAATAAATGCTTTTCCAAATTCCTCTAGGGATTTCAGCATTGCCTTACCCTGTTTTTTTTCCTGCGAAATGTGATGAAACAGAAAAAATATTCCCATTCTCTTCTGACATCTGCTGCTGGGAGATAAACACCCTGCTCCATCTCAGAGCCTGCCTTGAGCCACCCTCACTTGGACCCCATGCTCTTCTCTATCAATGTTAAATGTTCCATTGCCATATTCCAGTGCTGCCCTCACTCCTGTTCAGTCTCCCTTCTGGCTGCTGGGCTGGATCTCTTTCTCATCCATTGCCTCCATGGATCCTCTGCACTGGCCAGTGGAGCCTCATGGCAATTTTTCCTGATCTCACTAAACACCATGCAGTCTTTGGGAACTTCCATAACAGAGTAGCCCTGTCATCCATCCTGGAGCTCTACAAAATTCCCTCAGGTCTGGGAAGGTACAAAGTTCAGTGGGAGCTTTCTCTGTGCCTGGGGCACGCAGAGTCCAACTGGAGCCTCCAGCATCAAGGGAGACCTGGCTCTGTGGCATCTTCTCCTCCTCCAGATGGGCAGCAGGGATTTCACTGCCCCTCTGAGGCTGTGAATCTGACAGGAACCACATCTGTAAGCCACCATCCCTCTATCAAACTGGTGAAACTGTCTGACAGTGCCAGAGGCTTTTAGGAGGGATGGACAGACACACAGAGTGTGGAGAAGCAAAGTCCAGATCTGTCCTCTGAAGCTGAAGTGATGAAAGTGCCTTTGCCTGGGCTATAGAGAGGGGTCTCAGGGGTTTCACCTCTTCTCTGGGACTCAGCAGCCCTGAGGTGGTTTGCAGTGGTGGTTGTTTACTCTTTGCTCCTTGAAATAAACTTTTCCTTCCTTGCTACACTGTGGTAATCTGCCCTCAGCAGACAAAGTGGCTCCTGCTGGTCTCTCCACAGGGCCATTGTTTGTTGCTGTAACAATCAGAGGAGCAGCAGGAGGGGTTCAAACAGCACACACAGCTCAGAGAAGATGGGAAGAGAGAAGGACAGGGCAGAGGGAGAGGTAAAGGAGAGCACAGAGAAAAAAAGAAGGGGAAAAACAAGATGAACAGGCTTGTTTTCCTCAAGGTCCACAGTTTCCTATGAAGGATAAAAACATTATCCCAGCTGCCCCTGCTAAACACAGCACAGAACAGACACAGGGATGCCAGAGTCCTTTCCTGCTCCAGGCAGCTGAGGAGAAGTAGCTATTTCCTGAAGAGCCATAAAAACTTGTGGGGCTGTTTCTCCCAACAGCTGAAAAGGATTCTCAGGGATCAGGAAGTGTTTCCAGTCCCACCTCACTCATTTTCCAGGAAGCTCTCTGAAGCATCCACCAGGAGTACCCAGAAATTAATTCCTTGGAGCCAGAGCAGACAAAGAGAACACAGAGAGGCAGGAGAAAGTCAAGGGGGAGGAAGGCTTGGCAGAAAGTAAAGGAGCTTCTTTTCTTGCTGGAGTTATCTGTCCTGTAATTTACCTACAGCAGAACTGTGCAAATTTGCATTAATGGCTGGGAGACCCATTGTGAGCTACTGAACCTTATGAATTACAAAGTAATTGGAAAAACACAGTGAAAACAATGTTTTGCTCCATAAAGCATTCCTAGTTCCTTTACTGGGATGGCTACAGGTCTAGTTATTTAAAAGCACTTAGCAGTATGCTGCCATACTTAGGAGGGGATGGTTAGCAAAGAAACAAACAAATGCTGAAGTCCTAATAAAGAGAGATTTCACTGTGAGCAAGCAGATCAAAACTATTACAGCAGTAAAAATTAGGTCTAGGAAGAAATATACAGAATATATAGAAATGAGCTGTACTGGATTTTACAAGAGTGCAGGTTGATGAAATTATATTTGGGGCTGTTGTGCAAACCCTCACTCTGTCCCTTCTGTTTTAGGGAAGCCCCTTTGTCCATGTGCAGGTGGCACAAGGCAGAGCTCAAAGCCCTGTGGTGTGAGCAAGGAGCCTCCTCTCAGCCTCTCCTCTCCTCCTGCATCCTTGGGGCACTCTGGGACAGGCTGTGCTTCTGGGAGCTGGGGATGCATCATACAGAGTCATGGAGAGAGGACAAAATCCTCTGCCAGAACACTGTCTGAGCTCAAAATGAGTCTGGGAATGGAGAGCCACAGGTAGAGCTCACCCCACGAGCTCTGGCTGAAGCACTGAGGGGCTGCACAGGCCAGGCTGCACCTTCAGGCCCATCCTGAGCCCCTGACAAGCCTCAGAACCACTGCAAAATGAGGGAAATGTTGCTCTCTGCTTTGTCATTTCTCCCTACTTCCAGCTATAATACTGATACTCACCCTCATGTGCACAGTAATAAATTAGGAACACATACAAGATGATAAAGATGGTTGTTTTCCCTCCCTTTTCTTTTTTTTTTCCTCTGGATTTGCTACAGATGTGCTAGTTAGTGATGAATGAGTTTAATCCTTGTTCTTTTTCTTTGTTGATTATTTACTATTATTTGATTATATCTACAAAAGGGAATTTTCCAATATGTAATGCCTGTGTTAATGGGATTTGGGGCATGGATAAATCATCTGACCCTGATACCCATTGCTGAATAAGTATTTCTGAGATGGATAACTGCCCACAGCCCCCTTCAAAATCCACCATGGTGCTTTTTAACCCTCTTATTTTTCTGAACCCTCTATGAGGAACCTCCTTTTCCCATTAAAAAACCTGTGAATGCTTTCAAAATTTGAAGAAACCAAATCCTTCTAATGATTTTGCAGATGATTTGCAGTTCATCTGCCTGAATTTTAAATCTTGATGTTATTTGCATTTGTATTACGTTAATCAGAACAACAGGCTGGCCTTACCCCCACAGATGTCTGATCCCCACAAGGGTGGGGGTTTGCTTTGAAATTGTTAAAAATTTTGATAAATCTCTGTCATTGAGTATGTGACTAATTTTCCAACTAAATTTCCCTTTTTTAATAAGATTTTAATACGCATAAGAGGTTCAGTATTTGCAGTGTTAGGATACACCTTCCCCAACCTTTTCCAATCAGCATTATCAGTATTTGGCCACAAGGCTGGTCCACATAAATCACATGAGGCAGGCAGTCACCCCCAGTGCTGTCATACAAGTCCAGCAGGCTGGCCTTTAAAACAACACTGCAGTGATCCCATTTTACATGT